GGGCGGGTTGCGGGTGGGACGACGACAACAAACAACAACAAACAACAACAACAACAACAACAACAACAACAACAACAAACAACAACGAGAATCCGCACCGCGGAATTCCACTTCAGCCACGCACCCAGGGACAGTGAATGACCGTTCGGCCCCCTCACTCTGATCATTCGTGTCATTATTATTATTATTATTGTTATTATTCGTCGTGTGCTAAAGGTTCGTCTGATTACTCGTCGTATTTCTACTCGTTTCCCTAGTATTAGCATGAATGGTTCTGGAATTAGTTACGCAGTGTTAGCATTATTCATCTTAGTTGTATGAATATGCATCTGCTTCGTCGTCTTATTAATAATGAGCGGTTTAGTGTTATCCGTGTTATTATTAATATCATTGTTTTTCACATGGTTCGTCTTAGTATTATTAGTCGTCGTAGTATGATTATTGATCGTACGCGTGTTAGCATTACTAGTCGATTTCGCATTCGTATTCTGTTACCAGCAGTCTTAGCCCGTGTTCGCAGTATCCCTCGTGCTACTAATAATACTAATATTAGTTGTATTGGTTGTTGTGAGTCGTACTGTGATTCGTATTGGTAATATGCGTATGATTAATAAAACTGTTAAGAGTAGTAATGTGAGTGTGATTAGCAGTATTACTATTGCGATTAGATTTACTAGTTCTAGTATGATTCATACTACTATTACTACTACCTATACTATTAATATGGCTACCCCTGGCACTAGTAGTATCATTCGTAGTGGTATGAGTGGTCGTACTTTTACTACGATGATGAGTATTACGATTCGTAGTATTAGCCTTCGTCTTGTTCTTACTCCTCCTCATCCTCCTCCTCCTGATCCTCCTCCTCTTCCTCATCCGCCTCCTCCTGCTCCGCATCCTTCGCCTCCTCCTCCTCCGCCCCCTCCGCCCCCTCCGCCTCCTCATCCTCCGCCTCTGCCTCCGCCTCTGCCTCCGTCTCTGCCTCCGCCTCCTCCTCCTCCTCCTTCTCCTCCTCCTACGCCTCAGTATCAGTATCAGTATCAGTCTCCTCCTCCTACTTCTCCTCCTCCTCGTGCTCCTCCTCCTTTCCTTTCCGTATGAAGAAGCCCCCCCTGTCGCACACAGAAGCCAGTTGGAAGGGCGGGCCGAGCGCTTCGGCTGCGACTTCCTTACCATCTGTGCGCCTGAACCTTCAACACTGGCAATCGTTTCACGGATTGAGGGCGGGTGGCATTTTAAAGTGTGGCTCTCACCACGTTTGCCAATGTTTACCATAGCTTCACGATTTGAGGGCGGGCCGTGTTCAAACTGTGGGTCTCCCCTTAACGCCGCGCACATTCGTTTTAAAACTGTGCAAGGTTTCACAAATGAGGGCGGGTCGTTTTCAAAATGTGGCTCTCGCCCTAGCGCCGCGCACCTTCGTTATCAACCATTGCCAAGGTGGCTTGGTTTGAGGGCGGTGTTTCAAAATGCAGCTCTCGCCTTAGCGTCGCGCACATTCGCTTTAAACCGCTGCAAGAGTTCCACTGGTCCATACTGGTCCTCATGGCGAACATACCAGAAATGGCGTGTTGGAACTGTTCAGGGTTGTCAGGGCGCAACAGGTACGCTGCTTCGCGGTGTTGAAGTCCCAGGAATGTTGTTCTGGCACGATTCAGGGTCGCCAAGACGCAGCAGTCAGGTTAACCAGTGGCGCCGAAGTCCTGAGACATGGTGTTTTGGCACGCTTCCGGACTTACACACAGTTGTCCTCCAACGGTGCAATTCCCACAGTGGTATTAATTCTCGTAGTGGCCTGTGAAGAAGGGAAGTATATTGGAGGAAGGGAGTACTCCAACATCGTTGATGGGTCTTGGGTTTGCACTGGTCCTCCTCCTCCTCCGTCTCCGCTGCCTCCTCCTCATCCTCCTCCTCCTCCTGCTCCTCCTCCTCCTCTGCTCGCCATCCTCATAATCCTGACCCCTCTGCTCGCCATCATCATCGTCATGGCCCCTGTGCTCGCCCTCCTCGTCGTCCTCCTCCTCCTCCTACTCGTCCTCCCTCTTCCCTCCTCCCTCATGCCTCCTGCCTTCTGCCTCCTGCATCCTCCTCATCCGCCGCCTCCTCCTCCTCCTCCTCCTCCTCCTACTCCTCCTCCTCCTCCTCCCTCCTCCCTCCTCGCTCCTCCTCGTCCTCCTCCTCCACCTCCTCCTCCTCCTCTTCCTTTTCCTCGTCCTCGTCCTCTCCTCGTCCTCGTCCTCGTCTTCGTCCTCCTCCGCCTCCTCCGCCTCCTCCTCCTCCTCCTCCTCCCCCTCCATGCCGCACCCAAGCCAAAAAGAGCAGGGGGACGGTGCAAGTTGGGTCTGGGCGCTCACTCAAGAGCAGAATGCCCAAGCAAACCCGGGTAACCACATGCTCTTCGAATGTGATTGGGGCGGGATGTCCTGATGGAATCCTTCGCACACTCCCTCCCGCCGCCTACCTCCCTCCGTCCCTCTCTGCCTCCCCTCCCTCCCCCCTCCTCCGCCCACGAGGAACGGGATGGGGGAGGGAAGAGAAACGAAGTGAGATGGTTGCCTTCCTCCTGCCTCTCCTGCCCTCCTTCTTCCCCCCCCTCCCCTCCTCCTCCTCCTCCTCCTCCTCCTCCTCCTGCTACTCTTGCTCCTTCTCCCCCTCCTCCTCCGCCTCGTCCTCCTCCGCGTCCTCCTCCTCCTGTTCCTCCTCCTTTTCCTCCTCCTTCTCCCTCTCCCCCTTCGTCTCCTGTTTCTCCTCCTTCTCCTCCTCCTCCTTTTCCTCCTACTCCTACCCCTCATCCTCTTCCCCTCCCCCTCCCTATTCCCCTCAGTCCCTCCCCCCTTCAGGCCAGCGAAGCCTTGAAGTCCAGACAAAAGGCGCTGTCGTCGATCTTGCCGTGCTGGAAAATCGCCTGGCCACGCCCTCTCCTCCTAATACTCCTCATCCGCTTCGCCCGCCTCCCCTACTCGTTCCCCTCCCCTCGAAACCGTGATGGTCGTCATCGTTCACGCCACCACTGCAATGACCAAGGTCGCCATGACCACCGCAATCCGCATCATAATGAAACTAATAGCCTTTGGTCTGCAAACATTACCACTGGTAACCAGCACGATAACAATCGCTACCCTCCACCTCCCTCATGTGCTATCATAATTCGGATCGTCCTGGCCACTCGGCTCGCCATGCTCATGTTCCTCCTCCCCCTCCTCCGTCCTCCGTCCTCCTCCTCCCCCTCATCCTCCGCCTCTTCCTCCTCCTCCTCCTCCTCCTCTTCCTCCTCCTCCTGTTTGCCATCCTCCATCAGCTTTCTTTATAACTAACGCCGCCTTGTCGTATCCCCCAGGCGTGTCGGCAGGGCGGGCCAGGCGTTCGGCCTGAGATTTCTTCACCACTCACACCCTGAAGCGAGACATCTCACCAGGCCGTGTAGGTGGTTCAGAAAGTTTGCTCTTTGGGAAGGGTTTACCCTGCCCCTTCCCCCCTCCACCAGGGACTGGACGTGGAATACCGCGAAGGGTTAGAGCGCACAAGACGGCCCAGCATGGCTCCAAAAAGGCCTCAGAAAACCCAGAATTGCCTCCCAACATGGCCCGAGGCATCGATCTTGAAGTCCTTACGTGCTGCAGCGAAGGTCGTTGCGTTGGAGGATTTCGGCATGCGGGCGCGACAGTGCACGCGTGCACACGTGTATCATGTTCTGCTGGTCGGGATTTGGCAAATTTTCTGACTTGTGCTCAACGAATACTTTGTTTCCCCGCGGGGAAAACGCTCAAGACACGAAGAATAATCCGCTGCCCCTCAAGGGGGCTATCCAGACACGGGCGACAAAAAAACTCATACGCCTGGCGATCGCAATGTGCGTGCATCCGGGACGGCTTCCAACCGTTCACACCAAACACACCATCGTTCTGGACTCGGGGCGGCCGAAGGAGGAGCAGGAGGAGGAAAAGGACGAACGAGGTCAGAGAAACCAGTCAGAAGCCAGGAGCAGCGGTCAAGCCAACCTGCAATAGGCGAGCTGTCGCGCGCACCCTGGGACTAGGAGAATGGGCAATAAAGCAAGCTTATAGACCGCGGAGGTCATCGCCCGACCGCTCGGCAGTCTAGGCGCCTACATGGCCAACGCAGAGCAATCGCAGAGAAACATAACTTCACAATTGCGACGCCGAGGAAACAAGACAGGAAGGAGGAAGGCGAGGAGAAGGAAGAGGAAAAGGAAGAGGGTGTGACAACAGCAACCCGGGCCGAGACCGCGAGGTCTGGCGCTCAGTGAGGTGAGATCTTACAAACGTGTTACCACAAAGTGAACAACGAAATGGCGAGAAACAACAACGAACTGTTTGAGAATCCTACCA